ATAGACTCCGGCGGTGCTCGGGTCTCTCTCCCTCTCTCTATCTCTGTTTTTTTTCCCTCCGCATCTCTCCCGCCCACCCATTCACTCTGCATATTTTTCCCTTGCTCCCATTCTATTTCCCTTCATTCCTACTGTTCTCTCTGCCTCCCCAAGCCCGGCCCGGGGCCAGGCTTGATTAGTGAGAGCTTGGTCCAACAGGATGTTGCTTGGAGAGGCCCGCAGGCCCACGTATCCATCACAGCCCGGTTGGTCCGGCACTTACAGAAAACAATCCAGTTTTTTCCTGAAGACTTCCACTTTTGTTCCGACAATATTTCTTATACTTGCTGGGAGGATACTGAACAGCCGTGGACCTCTGATGTTCATACAGTGTTCTCTGATTGTGCGTGTGGCACCTCTAATCACTGGCTCTGTTCTGCATTTCCTTCCGTATCGTTCACTCCAGTATGTACTCACCTAGTTGTGCTTGCGGGGGTTGAGCTTTGGCTCTTTGGCCCTACCTTTCAACCGGCTATCAACTGGTGTGTTGTTGTTATTTTACTGTGTACATTTGGGACCTGGCCCTCCAGTATTTTCCATGACTAGCTTAGTCAAATGGGGAGAACTAATATATTTTTCGTTTGCTGTTAGGAAAAACCTCTATCATTTTGACCTTAAAACCATGTATTTGGCGTTATGTGTCTATCTTGTGTTGTCTGTCTGGCGTTACCTGTCTGTCTAGCGTTGTCTGTCTGTCTGGCGTTGCCTAAACTAGATGAACCATGCCTGCAGCGAGTACGTGCTGGCGCTGCTCCCGTCGAGTCCGCTGCCCGTCCAGCGCCGTCCACCCAAGTCTAACACCAGCGACGGCAACACCGCCGAGAGTGAGACAGGCGGAGGACGGTACAGGGGGAAGACAGACGGGGGGCCTCGGATCTTATGCCTGATCGTCACGACGCCCCACTACCACCAGGAGCGGGCGGTCCACGTAGCCTCGACCTGGGCCCAGAGATGCAGCTTGGCCGTCTTCCTGACCACGCGCCCGGATCCTCGTCTCCCTCGCATACTCCTCACACCGGGGGCTCGCTCCTACGACCAGCTGTGGGACAAGGTCACCCAAGGTCAGTACTTCGAGGTCATTACTTGGGGGTGGGAGGAGGTCAATCAAGAACAGTACTACCCAGAGTAAGGTTGGGTGGCAGAGGTTTACTCTAGTGGTCAGCAGGTGATCGAAATACTGGTGGTTCATTCAAGTTGAAAATACATGTGAGGTTTCCATGGGGAAATGATGGTGTGTGTGTGACAGAGACAGGTGGACGGGTGACAGAGGTAGTGGACGGGGGTGACAGAGGTAGGTGGACGGGGTGACGCCAGCTATGAACGCAGCACGTCAGCTGTCATTATCGCGACTCATGCATTTAAGCCAAGGCGGTCGCTGACCGTCAGGAGCCATGCTGACTCTGCAACTTACTATAAGCTTTCCACTTCACTCAGCGTCCTGGCATGTATCCTGGCCTGTATCCCGACATGTATTCAGGCATACGATTACAAGACAACAGTCCAAGGTGGGCGATGAGTCACAATAACGTGGCTGAAGAATGTTGACGATCGAGAATGTCGATTTTGCATCAATCGACTTGAGAATGGTCCAGGACGGACCGAAACGTCGTCGTCCCTTCACCTTCTAGTGTGTGGTCTGGTCAACAACAGTCCAAGGTGTAGAAGCAAGGTCAACAAAGGTCAGGACACTCGGAGAAGACAGCATGAAGGTCAATATACCCTATAAGATGCCCATCCACGGTCGAAGGGATGATATATCGAAGCGTCTTTTCTTAATGGATAATTTAGAAGGTTAAGAAAGCAAGGCAGGATTTATTTTTTCCTCAAGGCAAAGGGCTCCTTACCCCTCGAACCTCCGGATACTTTCAGATTACGGGTCTCTTCTGACCTAACCTACCAAGATGTGACTCCCTAGCTTAAATGTGACAGCCAAATTACCGCTTTGTATATCGGAAACTTGAAATATATAAGAACATAAACACCTGAGAATTAAGGCAACATCAAAAGGCCAATTGGCCAACATAAGGTGGTTACTACTCGTCTGTGGTCGTTTAAAATTAACTCCATATATATGTACTTTTACACAAATAAACTATTGACTTATATTTATAACACCACCACCTGCTCTCGCCTGACTTTTTTTATTATTATTATTATTATTATTATTATTATTATTATTATTATTATTATTATTATTATTATTATTATTATTATTATTATTATTATTATTTTCTACCACAGACGTGGCCACACATTCTCGCCTGACTGTGTCTGTGACGCTAACAGGCTCCAGGGGCCAAAAATTCATCGACGAAACTTGTACATCTTTCATCGATCATATCAGCTTTTTGTGTTTTTATTAAGCCCCTTACGAGCTCCTGAACGCTACAGTGTTGTTCTTGACCCAAGGTTATTGTTGTGGACGTTCTCGTAGCGCTTCGGAGCTCGTAGACTGTTTAATAAATGTAGCCTAAGTCGACATGATTTCGTAACACCTTAAATATACACTTGGTTATTACTGGGAAATTTCTGTTGCAACATTTTAAAAGCATTGTATCTCATGTTAATGTGATCATTTTGAAGGTTGATGGCATCAGTGTGAGTGTACAGTATACTAGATGGTATACTCAACACTATCCAAGGGGCATAGTGTACCTAGTATTATAGACTAGGAAGGGATAGTTGATAAGACCTCTCCTGACCCAGACAAGACAAGTATACAGCCTATCGTAGCCTAGGTAAACAACATATTCTAAGTGACAGAAGGATTACCCCAACAAACCCATCCTGTCAAATAATAATGGCGATTGAAATCTATTCTGTCCTGAGAGACGGATTCAGCTGATATAGTTGTTTGCCCTGCTGTTGTAATAGTTCTCGTTATAATAGACCGTGGTTAAGGGGAAGCGGGTGGGAATGATTAACTACGGCCTGCAAGGTCTCGTATTGATCACATGTTGCAATATGCAGAGTGTGAAATGTCATGAGGGATTGATGTCTACAGCGACGAGAGAGAGAGAGAGAGAGAGAGAGAGAGAGAGGCTCTGGGAAGCTTCTTCCATCATTCTAAACCGTCAGCTCTAATTCCCGATCACAGTCGTAGGCGTCAACAGTTTGGCGGCTGGATTAACGAGCTTGTTGTCGTTTGATTTAGATTGAGCTACTGGGAACCAAGAGTTGCAAGTAGCACGGGCTATGGTGAGCCCGTTGTGGACTTAACTTGCCACAGAAGCGGGGGCTGTGAGAGAATTAACGAGCATTTGGGCATTGTTTATGAGTACTTGGCAATGTCAAGCTGAAGTATAAACTTAGGGGCTCATCATGCTAACTCTCCTATGGCTATGAATACGAGTTCCCTATTGGTCATATTTCTAGTACGAGTTTTCTTCGTGATGTTCGGATCCTGACCAGTCATAGGCTAGATGGTACACTGTCTAACACTGACCACCTAACTACAGGGTTCCAGTGGGCGTATGGGCACCGGGAGGAGTTCGACTGGGTGGTGAAGGCCGACGACGACACCTTCCTGGTGGTGGAGCATCTTCAGGCGGCTCTCCGCGCCCTGGACCCGGACCAGCCCCTGGCCTCAGGTGTTCACCTCCGCACCTGGGAGACTGTGAGTTGTTGGTGTGGGCCCTCGGGGGGCTTACCCAGGGTCCACCCTCTCAGGGCACTGGGGCCGCCCCGTCCACCCTCCCAGGGCACTGGGGCCGTCCCGTCCACCCTCCCAGGGCACTGGGGCCGTCCCGTCCACCCTCCCAGGACACTGGGGCCGCCCCGTCCACCCTCCCAGGGCACTGGGGCCGCCCCGTCCACCCTCCCAGGGCACTGGGGCCGCCCCGTCCACCCTCCCAGGGCACTGGGGCCGTCCCGTCCACCCTCCCAGGGCACTGGGGCCGCCCCGTCCACCCTCCCAGGGCACTGGGGCCGCCCCGTATAATGTTGCAGATATAATGCTGACATGATATTGAAAACTTCAAATATAACGTTAATATAATGTTGAATGCTTCATATTTGGCGGACGGTAGAGGGTGGACGGATTTGGCGTAGAGAGCTTCAGATATGACGTTTAAAACTTCAAATACACCGTTAATATGACATTTAAAGCTTCAGATAGGACGATGAAAACGTCGAATATAAGTTATAAGGTTTGGAAGTGTCATGCTGCGGTCCGTTCTAGAGCATACTGGGGAATATGTTAAAGTATACTAAGTATATCATTCTAGGGTCCGTTCTAGAATATATCATACTAGGGTCGTTGTAGATTAATATCGTTTCAGGTCTTAACAATAGAAGTATTCATTTTACATTCGTTAAAACTGAAGCCTTTCTTGATACATCATGACTATGGGAGATGATTTTGGATGAGGGAAGTTAGATGTTTATTTAAAGTTGTAAGATGTTGGTCATTTATTATGCGCCCCATACCCATCCCGTGGGCGGTGGTGGAACAGGTTACAGAGGCACATAATGGGCTCAGGAACTGAAGCCTAACATTAATATTAATTTAGGTAAGCAAGTTAAAGTCTTGATAAGATAGTTACATAGTTTAATGTATATATATATCAATAATCTTTTATAGTACAGTGGGTTCAAGAACTGGACATCAAGAGTCTCCGAGCTGCGCAATTTACATATGTAGTGAGCTAGTTACATATAGACACACAGAAATCACACTAACGTGATGCATCAAATGAACAAATCCACAATCCTCGTCACGGCCCTTGTGGATTTGTTCATTTAGTTACATATAGTTTTACCAATTATTTTCAATATGATTTAGCATTTAAGGAGCGCCCTCTTCGCTGGCAAGTGAACACACAATTTTTCCCCGGGCACAAAGCACTCTTCCTGCTGAGTGAATATTTTTGCTCTTGCCTCCCCAGGGGAAGACCTACCTCAACGGGGGCGCTGGGTACGTGTTGAGCCGGGGCGCCGTCACCAGGCTGGTCGAGGAGGGACTGCAGGCCCGAGCGTGCAAGGACAACCTCGAACTCGGCCTCAACGAGGATGTCAACATGGCCTCGTGTTTATCATTCGTGGGTGCGTGACGTCACTCGCGGCTTTGGGTGCCGGACCAGGTGGTTCAGGTGAAACTATATCTCCTAATGAACGGCAAACGGAGGTGGTCTAGGTGATCCTAGGTTCCCGTCCACCTAGCACGGGAACCCCACGGGGGAGTCATAGGGGAGCTTGTTGCCATAGGTGAAGCTTAGTCCCGGGAAGGTGAGAGTGCTATGAGGTCCCTCCGGCATGGGCTGGGTGGAGGCAGTATATATATTCTCTGCTTTCATGTTCTGTAGTCGTGTTAGGATTCAATACGGGATTAATGAGTCTACTCATTGACCCACCCTTCGTAATGAGGGAAATGAGTAATCATGGCATCCTCCTTCCCTCAGGTGATGAGGGAAGCTGCTATTTGTAGCAGCTTCCCTTAGATTTTATCCTTTGGGGAGCTCCTTAAGGGGTGTTGAATATACTCACAACGTAAACACAATTATTATTAATGTCATGACGCTACATGACCCAACCATCGCTGCTGTTGCTTTCCACACGTCATGTGGAGTGACGACAAGTTGTTCCCTTAACAGTTGTGCGAGGTAGTGACAGGTGTCCCCTTTGACAGGTGTGGAGCTCCTCGACTCCCGGGACTCTGCGGGTCGACAGAGGTTCCACGTGTACCCTCCTCAACAGCTGATCGACCCTCGCCAGGAGAACAGCTTCTTTCATCTCTGGCTCAAGAAGATATCCATCTATCCCTATAAATTTGTGAGTAAAAATAGAATTCCGTAAGGTAGAGTCTCTGTGAGTTTCCCCCTCACGAATCTCAGTAAATGGAGGCCTGGGGCCAGATTCACGAAAGCACTTACGCAAGCACTTACGAACGTGTACATCTTTCCTCAATCTTTGACGGCTTTGGTTATATTTATTAAACAGTTTACAAGCATGAAAACTTCCCATTCAACTGTTGTTATTGTTATAAACAGCTTCCTGGTGCTTCGGAGCTCATTAACTGTTTAATAATTGTAAACAAAGCCGCCAAAGATTGAGAAAAGATGTACACGTTCGTAAGTGCTTGCGTAAGTGCTTTCGTGAATCTGGCCCCTGAGTCTCTCCTCGTGACTCTGCTAGTCCGATGTCCAAAGAGCTTGGAAAATGCTAGGGTAGGAAGAAGGATGGGGAGAGGAAATTCTTGAAGATGATTTGGATGGGGAATCAGGAGGCTTGAAAGTCCGGGTTTCACACAATTCCCGCCATGCACTCAGGCTCTGTCAACCAGTAGTACTACCTCTGACGCCCCTCCCACAACCTCATATTCCCTACGTTGAAGGGGCTGGACGATTAGGCTAGGAACAATTTCTAAAAGTTTCACATGTCAGCCTGTGATTTTAGGGCACGGGCCTACCGGGGCCTCGGAAATCAATGATAGGCTGCCATCACTGTGGACAAGGTGACGGGAGCATAAGATCTTTTCTCACGTAATTGTGCTTGCGGGGGTTGAGCTGCGGCTCTTTGGTCCCGCCAATGAAGGATCCACTGGGGGGAACCTCCATAAAGGAACCTTTATGGAGGTTCCATATTTCTCATTCAACTTCGGGATGCTCTGAAAGCTCCTATGCTTAGTAAATTGGCCCCAATTTAACCTGCTGCATCTTGAGCTAAATTCATTGTTAGATTTGTTTGTTGAAGTCATATTTTCCTGCCTAGAGCAGCTGCTAGCCAAGGAGCGGGAGGAGCTGAGGGAGAGTCGTGTGGATGATAGCCAGTGTCATTTGGCTTTTTATCGTTGTTACTTGTCCTGTGATGAAGTTCATGTGCTCGAGTGTGTTTAATGCTGTTCAGTGTTTAGACTACCAGTTTTCTCTGAGGGAGGGGGTGGGGGGGGGGAGGTGATGAGAAATATGAGTGGTGGGGGGGGAGGTAATGAGAAATATGAGTGGTGGGGGGGGAGAGGTGATGAGAAATATGAGTGGTGGGGGGGAGAGGTGATGAGAAATATGAGTGGTGGGGTGGGGGGAAGGTGATGTAAGGCGTAGATGTGAAAATGGTTGAGGGAAGGGAACTGTCAGGAGAAAGCGCCAAGCCATCACGACAATATAGCACTGGGAAGGGAGGTCAGGATAAGGGTTAGGGACGGGGCAGGGAAGTAATGGTGAAGATGGTTGAGATGCTGAAGACCTCATTATTATGTTGAACACTTAGCTAGGGGGGGGATGAAGTAACTAAGATCAGGAAGAGACTTGTAAGGGACGATAAAGACTTAAATATGATCACGAAGACTTAAAAAGGATGATGGAGACTTAACTAGGATGATGAAGACTTAACTAGGATGATGAAGACTTAACTAGGATGATGAAGACTTAAAAAGGATGATGGAGACTTAACTAGGATGATGGAGACTTAACTAGGATGATGAAGACTTAACTAGGATGATGGAGACTTAACTAGGATGATGAGGACTATACTAGGGGTGATGAAGGTTTGAGTGGGGGATGGCAAGGATATCCTCGAGCCTCACTACAAACCCCACCGCTTGTGTGTCTCGGTAGGGCTACTCGGAGCTGAGCGAGGAGGTCATCAGCTTCCACTACGTCGACGCGGAGACCATGTACCTCCTCTACTACCTCATCTACCTCGTCAACCCCACCACCACCACCACCACCACCATCAACCCCTCGACCTTCCATCACATCCGCGACCCTCCAGTAGAGTCCCCTCATTCAATCTCCCGAACGCCGCCTCTGCGCTGAGTCTCTTCCGGTTCGTCTTCGGGAGTCCAGGCCACGACAGGAGCTCGGTGGATGTCCAGACTCCAGCTGAAGTACTTCCAGTCTCTGATAATCTTTCCGGAGGAGAGGAGAGCTGGAATTGTGTTTGCTGGATCCGTTTTCATTGCTGTGACCGCAGGGGGTTATTCCCTAACACACACTGGTAATGTGTATTTATGTGTTTAGGTTAGATTAGCATTTTAAAAGCACTACAATCACCTGTGGTTGATTGTTCAGTAAATCACTTAATTATATGCTTAACAGCTCTCTAAACCTGTCCATGGAGGACAGAAGAAAATGTAGATATACTGGTTAGCATTGTAAATGACTGGCCACGATTGTGGTAGAAAATAATAATACTAATAAAATGGTATTGCCGAGCTAAATTAACACTGGAATGCATTTGGAGTGCCGGAACTTGGACGCTAATGATTTGCAGGACTTTCCAGCAGTGACTCTGGACCTGATGTACTGTACTGAGCAGTGCTCATGTAAATATAACTGTAAAATGACTGTATCTGTAAACATAAAGCTCATTAATTAATCCAATCAGTCGGTGCAGCTCGTAGCCAGTCTGCAGAAACGGTTGGGCATGTTTCCTTTCACCTAGTGCTCCCTGTTCACCTTGACCTCGTCAAGCCAAAGTTCAGGCTGCCTGTCCCCGAGAAAACGGGAATTATATTGTCAAAAGAATGACTTAAAACGAATTATTTTATTGTTGTGTATTTTAGAAAATATTTCACCCTAATCACAGAGATGGTTGATGACATGTTGATGTGTGACAGAGATGGTTGATGACATGTTGATGTGTGATGAGGATGGTTGATGACATGTTGATGTGTGACAGTGATGGTTGATGACGTGTTGATGTGTGATGAAGATGGTTGATGTGTGACAGTGATGGTTGATGACATGTTGATGTGTGATGAGGATGGTTGATGTGTGACAGTGTTATGTTTTGATGCTTTCATCAAGAAAACAAGCTATAACATATTGTTAACAAATAATCAAAATATTTTAAACAAATAAATGTGGAAGCCAAACACGTGTTCGAGAAGTTGTGAGGTGGCGTGGAAGCCAAGCACACGTGTTAACCAGCATTGTGTTCACAGCACCAGTGGTGTTCGTCTGAACAACTCCTCCACCAGTGTTCAGGGACAACGTTCAGGAACTGGTGGCGTCAGATCCGACCCTGTACTTATATACCATAAACAATAATGATTTCTAGTCAATTTTTTTGCATCAAATCGGTGTAATGGGCACTCGAGGCGAAGTATGATGGAGGTATAGTGACATCACTCAGGCGATGTAACTGTTCACCGCAGGAAGAAATATGAGGACACGGACCTGGGAGGGGGGGGGGGGATGTTTACATCAAATTGGATTGAGAAAAGATTTAGGTAAACACGGGATTTTGGGGGAATAGGATTGTTAGATTTTGTTGAATGGCATAATAATTTAGCAATTTGGAATAGGTGGATTGTTTCAAGCAGCGTAGTCTCACAACCGAGGGGGCTTGGGTTCAATCCTCGGGCGGGGCAGAAACGATTGGGCACGTTTGAATGCGGCAGATGCCTCTGTTCCTCCTGGGTGTAAAATAGATACCAGGGTATTAGGCTATTATTGTGGGTTGGACGATCTAAGGCTCAACACTGACCATGCTGAGGAATGTCAGTAGTGACTGCCTCTTGGGGCAAGACCTCGACGAGCTTAAGTACAGGCTTCCTGTCCCCAACAACGGGGGTCTGTTTTGATCTATAAGAATGTTTGTCTATTCGATGTATGAGCCCAAACGGTTGCGGTTAGTCTCGTGCAAATTTCCATCAGAAATATGATAGGGTGGTTGTCATCGACCCCCCCATTGCCTCCTTTTATGTGGGATTGGCTCCTGTTGCGACAACCACCGACGCCTATCATGCCTGAAATGTGGGTTTGATTGTCCATAAAGTGTTTTAACTAGATTCCTTGGCGGGACTATACCATCCTGGTATAGTCCCATTCTAAGGAGCATTCTATATACCATTCTAGGGAGCCGAGCGGACAGCACGCTGGACTTGTGATCCTGTGGTCCTGGGTTCGATCCCAGGCGCCGGCGAGAAACAATGGGCAGAGTTTCTTTCACCCTATACCCCTGTTACCTAGCAGTAAAATAGGTACCTGGGTGTTAGTCAGCTGTCACGGGCTGCTTCCTGGGGGTGGAGGCCTGGTCAAGGACCGGGCCGCGGGGACACTAAAAAAAATAAAAAAGCCCCGAAATCATCTCAAGATAACCTCAAGATACCATCCTGTGTGGTGGGGATATTTAGCATCACGTAGTTAGTGTTCTTGACACACACTGTACTCCCCTTTATGTAGTCTGAGGCACCTGCACAAATGCAAATGTATTTAAATGTATTAATAAAAAAACTGGTATAGAGGTTGAATCAATGTTGATAACGTTGATTCAGCGTTACTTGAGCGTGTTTTGCTACTGGAAGAAAGAATGGGAGAGAGGAGAGGGAGAATGAGAGAAACAGACCACCATGCACGCCGTCTATCTATACGAAATGTGTTTACTTATGGAAGGATGGCAACCCAGCTAGCCAGCCTCATGCATGGCGATTGTTTACTTTATGGAGAGTCGTATAGCGTGGTCCGGGTCATTTAGTGATGAAGCCTGTGTTGTGATAAGTGTTACAGGGATGAGGTGTGTGGTGGGGAGGGAGTGTGTATATTGGAAGACAAGGAGAGGCTGTGTGTGTGTGTGTGCTTGTGTGTCGGGGGGGGGGGGAGGATATGCGTGAGAGAGCCACCATCGCGGTACTCTCATCTGGTTAGTGATATATGATGATGAATTTAGTTGGGAATACATTGTATGTGCCTCGTATGGGTCAATAGGTCTTCGGCAATTTTCATTATTCATTCACTTTAGTTATTGTGGGATATGAAGTCACTAGGGCTATCGGGGATCGAATCCTGACCCTGCAAGACATGAGAGCATTGCTGTATCTTCTAGATAAAATGAATGGTTCATGGCGACATGCACTGATAATCTTAAACAGATCTGTGACTTGTTTTGATGGTCAAAGTTTAGGATCTGATAATTGTAAATGATTGGTTTTGTCTTAAGTGTAAATCTTTCTGTACATAACTCCCCATTGTTCGGGGAAGAAAGTCTGTACTTACAAGGTCCAGGCAGAAAGCCTGTACCTTGTATCGAGGTCCTGCTTATGTCAACTACTGGCCTTTCCCAGGATGCAACCCACAATAGTTGTCTAACTCCCAGGTAGCTATTTACTCCTAGGTGAACAGTTGCATCAGATGAAAGGAAACGTGTCTATTTCTGTCCCACCCGGGGTCAAAATCGGGATCCTCGAGTGTGAGTCGGGGCCGAGTCCAGCTGTACCACGGAAACAGCAGTATGAGGCAAAATACTTACATCATAACACACAGAAATCACAATAGCCTGATGCATCAAATGAACAAATCCACAAGGGCCGTGGATTTCGAATCCTCGTCACACCCCTTGTGGATTTGTTCACTTACATCATATTCAGTGTATAGCAATTGTATCGCGGGAACAGTAGTATGAGAGAAAATACTATCTTATTGAGTGTATATCATCTAAAACAAACATTTCGGAGAACATGCTCAATCATCAGTGTTACAAAAAACTGTTAATCAGATAAACATGTTCTAAAAATCATTGATCAAACATTTAAAGATTGATGAAAATCATTATAATTAAATGACTAAGACAATAAAAAGCTCAATGAAAAATATACTGTACGTATTAAAGTAGAAAGCAAAAAATGTATAAAATAGAAAATACAGCTATTCTTAATAAACTTGCAAAAGCAACCCGTCCTCGACTCAAGGGTATTACATTCACCGGTCGACCCCACAGATGCATTCATAAATTTTTACATGCTTTTCATTCAAAACGGGAATGTTCTCAAATATAAATTAATATTATAATATATAAGCATATTGTTCATATATATATAGGCATAGGTTAGGCGTTTAGGTTCTGTTGGCGATTATTTGTATTTGTAGTACGTGGGTGAAGTGCTTCACTGACGAATTTTGTTCGAACCACAACACTGTAAATGCTTCACCCACGTACTACAAATACAAATAATCGCCAACAGAACATAAATACCTAACCTAACCTAACCTATGTCTATATATGCACAATATGCTAATATTTTATAATATTAAGTTATGTTTGAGAAAATTCCCGTTTTGAATGAACAGAATGTAAAAATTTATGAATACGTCTGTGGGGTCGACCGCTGGATGTAACGGACTTGAGTCGAGGACGGGTTGTGGTCTGAGGACAGGTTGCCTAGTCTGTAAGAATTGGAATTCAGTACAGTGAAATTCCTGGGAGTGAGAGGGTGGTTCATGATTTAACGAGTGATTTCAGATAGTAGAGGACGCAATCAACTTGCCTTGGGCGGCAGACTAGTAAGGTAAGACATGCCCATATGTTGACCAGACCACACACTAGAAGGTGAAGGGACGACGACGTTTCGGTCCGTCCTGGACCATTCTCAAGTCGATAGAGCACATGCCCATATGTTCACAAATAGAGTCATTAAGGTAGAGCGAGCCATGCCCACGTATCGATCGTTACAACTCTAATATTTAAAATGACAAACAACACCAGCTGTTAAAAGTGTATAGAATGTATCTAGGAATTGGTTGTTAAACGATTTGGCGGGTCGTATTCCGGGGAAAAATTAGGCTTCAGGACCTGCCCGAAACGCTACGCGTGCTAGTGGCTGAACAAGAATGTAACAACTCTTGTATATATAAATAACAAAGAATGTCTTAATGTTACGAATATTTTTCGAAGATGATAGCTTACGGCACCTTAATAAAAAAAAATTAATTCAATGAATATTCCATCGACAATATTCAGAGAATTCTAGCTATGGAATTTTTAGTTAGTATGAATATAGTGTTTAATTATTTCCTCATAATCGTGAAAATTATTTTACTTGGTAAAGTAAATAGTTATTTCGTCCAACAATTTATCGTTGGACCAAGACTGAAAGCTCGTTACAAAACTTTTAACTATTTATCTTAGTTTAGGACAAAAACTGTTGTAGCCTAGCTAGTCCCGTGAATGTTGGTTTACGATAAACAAGTAAATTGACTCCCATTATTAGTAATTAGTGATTTAAGTACTGTTGTTTTGGCATTTATCCCCAATTTTACAATTTTGTTCTTTGTTAGGGTTAATGGCGTTCAACACTGATGGAGATTAATTCTTCTGAAACGCTGGTTTTGAAAAAAAAATTAATTGAAGATGTATGTATTTTCTCTGATACCACGCTTCCTCATTATTATATATATTACATATTTACAGGCGAGGAGTCACAATAACGTGGCTGAAGTATGATGACCAGACCACACACTTGAAAGTGAAGGGACGACGTTTCGGTTCGTCCTGGACCATTCTCGACTTGAGAATGGTCCAGGATGGACCGAAACGTCGTCGTCCCTTCACTTTCTAGTGTGTGGTCTGGTCAACATTACATATTTATATAATTCATATTTTCTCTAAAAGCTATATCATATTTTAAAACTGCAGCTAAACAAGTTCTTTCCGCCATAAAATCCTTTAGTTTACATCAGTTAACCATGGTGAATACAATTTTCTATGCTCTACTTTTCATTTTAATTAATAAGATTGATCGAGCTCTCAATTTACCTCATGGTCCGTATATCTCTAGTGGTCTCCACTGGGACAGGAAGCCTGCAGCTTGTAAAATGAACCCCCCCCGACAACCTATCTTCTTTATGCTCAACCATACATGCTTGCAGCGAGAGCTTTAGCTCATGGGTACCAATTTCAGTCGCCTGTCGCATTGGTTCCCAATACTCTAGTCATGTTCACCTCTATTTGAGCTCGCTGCACTTGCTACTCGATTGTTTCATCATATAATTCCCATAGTCGGGGACAGGAAGCCAGTTAGGCTTTATCCGTTGTCCCCATTAGATAGGCTAAGGTTAGGTGTTTGGTTCAATTGGGATTTTTTGTTTTTATAATTTGCCAACCCGTCCTCAGGATCTGTTTGTTCCAACCAGCGGTCGTCCCCAAAAACGCATTCGTCATTTTTAAAATGCTTTTTTTCAAAATATAAATAAATATTATTATATATTAGCATATTTTGCATAGATTAGGTTAGGTGTTTAGGTTCTATTGGCGATTATTTGTATGTGTAGTACGTGAATGAAACATTTAAACCCGTCTTCGACTCAAGTTCATTACATCCAGCGGTCGACCCCACAGACGCATTCATAAATTTTTACATGCTGTTCATTCAAAACGGGAATTTTCTCAAATAAATTAATATTATAATATATTAGCATATTGTGCATATATATATATATATGCATAGGTTAGGTGTTAAGGTTCTGTTGGGGATTATTTGGATTTGTAGTAAGTGGGTGAAGCATTTACAGCGTTGTGGTTCGAACAAAATTCGTCAGTGAAGCACCTGTTCCGGAAGTATTCGAACGTCATCAGTTGTGAGTCGTGTGTAAACCGTTTTTCATTCATAAACAGAGGGTTTGGTGGGTGCATGGAATCACTTTTGGGTCTGTTTGGAGGACGGGCTAAACATTTTCAGCGTTGTGCTTCGAACAAAAATGGTCATGGAAGCACTTATTCGAAAAGTGTCCGGACGTCATCAGTTGCGAGTCGTGTGAAAACCCTTTCTCATTTATAAACCAGCTCGGTCAAAGTCCATTCCATGCACCCACCAAACCCACTGTTTATGAAACGGTTAACACATGATTCATAACAGATGACGTCCAAACACTTCCGGAATAAGTGCTTTGCTGACGAATTTTGTTCGAACCACAACGCTGTAAATGCTTCACCCACGTACTACAAATACAAATGATCGTCAACAGAATCTAAACACCTAACATAACCAATGCCTAATTATATACAGTATGCAAATATATAACAATATCAATTTTATTTTCGAGATAATTCCTATTTTGAATGAACAGTATGTTAAAACTGATGAATGCGTCTTTGGGGCTGACCGCTGGATGGAATGAACCTGGCCAGAGGATGGGTTGGTGTAAAGTGTATATAATTCATAAACTGAGGCTTTTGTGGCTTGATTAACGAAGATTTTGCCATTGTTTATGAGGACGGACTGATTTTGCAGTGCTTGAAACCTATATTCTTATTAACATCTATGCAGTTTCTTGCAGAATACACATGAATTAACATAAAGATCGCGTCGTGTACTGCTCGCACAATAACAATACTTTATTACTGGGTAAAGTTAACAAGTGTCATTTAAACAGAAGTTGTTTTACCGCGGCATTATCCGGTCATCACTTTGGCATATAATCAAGGAGCTGCAGCGCTAGGGCGGTGCCACTGTGTCCTGCCCGAGACACGCTGTAGGCACTTGGTGAAGGCAGAGGAGCTTGCGGCATGAACGTGAACGGAGGGCGTGGAACCACCATGGATGCCACACACCAGCGGCCATAACACATTCTGAAAGTTGCCACGTCGATACATCCATGACCCATCACAGAGGGGTGATAGAGGGAATGTCACAGTTTTCCTCTCAGATAGGTTCCGGCTCCATCATAAAGCATTATCAGAAGGTCCAAGACTTGCATGAAGGACGAAGCTCTTAACACGACACGCTAAGCCCAGTGTTGACGCATTCGGGACGATTCCTGATCCTGGATATCCTCCTCCTGTTGGTGAAGAACCTGCGCCCTCTGAAGGGGACGGAGCCAGCAGAGCCCAGCACCAACACCAGCACCACCGTCACCAGCGTCAGCAACAACACACGCATCTGCCGACGTCAAACATTCAGAATAAGAGTAATGCTTACCTCGACTTACACAAACATTCCTGAAGTGAAATATTTCAAACGAATGATATCAACGTCCACAGTCACTCGGGAATCACGAATGTTCTTAATAATGCAAGAGGATTTTAAAGATTGTTACAATTCACAATGATTAATAATTACAAATACATATACTATTTGCATGTATCTGTATGTGATTCTTAGCAACGATTCACAGACACTTAAGTAAATAACAGGAGTGGGAGCCATCGTCAAGACTGAGGAGTTAGTAAAGAGATGGTGAGTGAGCAGATCTCCAGCCTTGCCGCAGGCTAGGTGCCAAGACTATAATGTGTACATTATAATCCCTCTAATGACTGATCTCTGGTAATTATGTTCCATGTGAGGCCCTAAATATTAACCTCGATACCAAAGCATACTATGAGCCACGATAATAAATTTTACAGCAAAACTATTGTAAATAAGTTTTATAGCGCGATAACTATATTTACTATACAAATGGCATCCGTCTATGCGATGAACGGTGGGTTTAATTTAGACAATAATCATAAGTTATCCCCCGAAACGCGGAGTGTAATCATCGGCTTTATTTACACTACATAAATAGTACACTACACTACACCAGGTACACTAATTGGTGAAAATTCGTGAGTTACCTCTATTATTATCATCATCATTAATGACAAGATACGCTCACAAGAACGACATTGAAGAAAATAAACATTGTACCATTTTTTGTCGAGAGAAAACATGGCCCGAGGGGATGACTCTAATAATAAGTGAATACCGCACCGCAGAATAACTTGTGGTTAGGGAAGGAATTCGAGTTTAAAGGAGAAAAGCCTTTTACACTACTTTAGATTTAGAAGCTTTTTTCGTAAGTGATTTATACAAAATCACTACAGTAATGACTGGAGGGAGCAGGTGTACAGCTGTAAAGAAAGATTAGCTTTCAGTTAGAACAGTGAAACTTGCAGTGCTAGAAAATAACTTGTATACAAATAATGACGGGAGTTATGTTGTAAACATTAGTTTTGAAAGTACTGGAGGGTGGTGTGGTACTGGAGGTTGTAGTACTGGAGGGTGGTGTGGTACTGGAGGGTGGTGTAGTACTAGAGGGTGGTGTGGTACTGGAGGGTGGTGTAGTACTGGAGGGTGGTGTAGTACTGAAGGGTAGTGTACTGGAGGGTGGTGTAGTACTGGAGGATGGTGTGGTACTGGAGGGTGGTGTAGTACTGGAGGGGTGGTACAGTCCTCAGCCTTAAATAAACCACATATACAGGAAGAAAGCAGTACACCTCTCCCCGTGTGTACACACAGTTACCTGCCAACGCTTATTGTGTCTCCAGTCGTAGTTACCCCTTCAAGGCGTTGAAGATGAGCTTGGACGAGGACCCGACAGAAGTCTTCCTCTACCTTGTCCAGCGCGGTACTGGGACGTTGTGGTCCGCGCCCGCTATATATACACCAGCCTCGCTCCTCTCTTGTTGGTGTTGGCCCTTGAGGCCTACCGTTCTCTCGAGGGTTGTTAAAATTTAAAAATTCAAATTCAAATTTTTTATTCAGGAAAAGTACATACATAGATGATTTACAAGCATAAAGTTGGATTTATAGAGCTAGGACATACAATACCTAAGGCTACTAATAAGCATAGCCTTTCGGGCAGCCTTTATAGCTTAAACAATAGTAAGAATGCTTTAGTCCTGAACGATTGTCTAGTCTTAAGTAAACTCACTCCCTAAAGAATAGGAATGATTTTGATTTTGTTTTTGGTTAGATGAATTCAAGTTGATAGTGAATATGTAATGCAAATGTGTGTGTGCGTGTATGTGAAGTGTATACGATTGTATTTTATTATGGAAACGAGAGTGGAGTGTCTATCAAAGCGGAGGTTTTACCTCCCTGACCTGCCCAACCAGTCAGCTGCCCCCTGACCACGTCCTCGTCAGACCACCAGAAATCAGTCTGAGTCTGTAGCCTGGTGCATTGCCGCAGACGACCCCCTCCCCCCCCCCCCCATTATTATGGACGAAAGGGAGGTGGTCGAAGTAGAGAATCCGTAAGAGCGAGACTTCCTCTGGGATACACATGGAGGTTCAGGACGGAAATGGCAGCAGAGTTGCCAGATCCGTAACATGAGAGATGAACACCGCCGCCTTGACCACTACTTGAGAGATTGTGCCCGCCTCTGACATTTGAAATATTCGGAGAATAATAAATCTTACATTGAGTTAGGGAAATGTTACTTATTTAATTGAGATACTTTTCTCTAAGATTTCCCTACCTTGCACCCTCAAGATACGTAAGTTTATGGGTTAATGTTAATCTATTTGTTTGATGAAGTGTTCACTTCGGACATTTAAGTAACTTCCAGCTGCGTCTGGTGACTGGATGAATAACTCAGCGGTGCTCTTCCTATTGGGGAGGTGTTGTACACGCTGCTATGGCGTTGTCTGCTCACAGGATGAGTGACGCTGCCCAATAAACTCGCCCTTCAGGGCAAAATTTTAATATATTACCAGCCGGTGCATCAATTGTTGTTGCGAAGTGGACAAAAACTACGATGCCTTCGTTTGCATAAAACATCTCTGGCATCACTAGGGAAAAAAATTAATACCTCGCACGTGAGACTATCAAATATAGCCTCGAAAAAAGGCCCGTTTTTGGAATTGGTTGTTGCTTAGGGTTTGAGGAAGGGCTGGTAACGGCACTTAAAAAAAAAAAAAAAGATCCGTCACACCCACCGGTGAAGCCAACTGGATCTATCCAGACTCCAAATCTACCTCATAGGTTTTCCAGGAATGAGGCTTTTATCCATCCATTAATGCTTTGTTGTATTTTGCACAGCGTTTTGCTGCACTATATATCAAGAAACATCTCATAGAGCGCCGCTTTCGTCAACAATTGAGCATCATTAATATGGTTCAAGAGCACCAACATCGTTCAGGATCTCTAGAGCATCGACACACATAGCGCTCAGCACCAGGACAACAAAGGGACGGGTTTGTTTACATCGCCTTGATGTCCGCCACGCCGGAGTCTGAACTCCGGTGATGTCATTCCTCCTGGAACTGACCGCGTGCTGACACATCATGACTGACACTAGTTAAGGCATTGATAGTGATGGTTTCTGGTGATGCGTTGCCTGTTGACACTGGTGGGTGTTGACACTACAGATTATTGATGGCACATTACCCCATTCCACGGGCCAAGCCTATCACATGACATTTAACACCATCCCATTTCATCCCACTCAGCCACATCCCAACCCATCCTACCCCATTTCATTCCCCTTCCTATCCCATTCCATCTCACCCTATCACTATCCCATCCTATCCTGCAACTTTTTCATCCCTGTTGCCCCACAACGTACTACCCCTTACCCCATTCCATAGTCATCTACTCCGTACTTCCCAGCCGCAACCAATCCCATTCCACTCCACCGTTTCCCATTCCACCCCACACCACCATACCCCATTCCACCCACCATACCCCATTCCACCCACCATACCCCATTCCACCCACCATACCCCATTCCACCCACCGTACCCCATTCCACCCACCATACCCCATTCCACCCACCATACCCCATTCTACCCACCATACCCCATTCCACCCACCATACCCCATTCCACCCACCATACCCCATTCCAGCCAGAAGTGCGAGTCATCCTGAAGTATTTACCTATCACAAACATCATACACTGAAAGAGACCTTGACGGCCGTGGTGAAGGTCAGGGTCGGCCAGACGACTTCGTTTTGCGTCGTTGTCAGTCATTTGGCAGCAATTATAGCCATGATGTAGCTAAAGTCGTATATATAGTTGGGTCCGGTCTTGACTGACCATCGGGGATCCCGGGTTCAATTCCCGGACGGGACAGAAATGGTTGGGCAAGTTTGCTTACACCTAATGCCGCTGTTCATCAGTAATTTTTTTGTTGTCCAGTTTATTATAGTAAAATTACTCGCCTATTATACAAACATTGTCAGACCATGTTGCCCTACATACTTTTCGTTATATGACATTCCTTATATGACATAATTTTGTTATGACATTATATATATAATATAGAATATATATGTGTGTGTGTGTATGCGAGCAAGCTTGAATGGGTTCAAGTTGAAGTATGTTTATTGAGATAAGAAAGAAATACATCTCAAAGGTATAGAGTAGCTTAGGCTGTTTCTACCCCCCACTTGAATGGGTCCCAAGCCAATATGCATCTGAAAACTCCACATCACAGAGGGATTCGAACCCAGACAGCCAGGAGAGTTTCGCATATGTGTTGCTCACGTGGCCCCACCAAGGGAGGCGATTCGATGAAATATCTATGCCCAAGTTGACCTCCGAGCGCTGTCGGATCGTTGTTAAATAGTCTCACGGTTACCATGATTTTTGTACAGTCCGTGTGGTCTAGTGGTTAAGATACCAGGTACGCGAAGGTGCATAGTGCTCCTGGCTGTCTGGGTTCGAATCTTTCTGGGGTGTTGAGTTTTCAGTTATATATATATAATATATCCTGGGTACGCATCCAACCTCCGCGGAGCTGGTTGAGGTCTTCAAACACTGATTGTTACATTGTTATGTGTGTAAATCACGAAAATTAACACGTGATAAAAAAATGTGACAGTGTCAGACCACGGAGAAAGAATTGAAATAGGAATTTCCTTAAGTACTTTCGTATAATAATACATCTTCAAAAGGAATGCCTTCTGAAGATGTATTAATATACATCTTCAGAAGGAATTTCCATTAATACATCTGAAGATGTATTAATTTAAACTGTTTGAGTCAGCAGTCAGAGACTGTCAGACTCCCCACCGGGTGAGGAGGAGGGTTAAGGGTCTGATGACTTCCAATCCTTTTGAAGAGTCAATGTGGTCTAGCGGGTTAAGTACTGGATATGCTAAGGTGCATGGAGCCCTGGCTGGGTTCGAGTCCTTCAGGGGGTTAGGAGTTTATGGTTATATATATATATATATATATATATATATATATATATATATATATATATATATATATATATATATATATATATATATATACACATATAACAAAATGAATTATTAGGATATCATTATATTTAATTCTATCTGATCAGTTTATGTATGAACCTCAGTTTTATTTTCCTCTTTGACACTACATTTTATATTTACTCTAACAAATATTGCTACTACCCCTCCTCGTCTAATCTGTTTGTGTGAAATAATTTGAACCTCTTAAATCGTTATTCGGCTAAAAGTTGCCCGTTTTCTACATTCTCTGACGTTTTGGTTAGTGCAATAGTATCTATTTTTTTCTATTCACACACGATAACTGAAATGGTTTATTTGGTTTCTGAATCTCTTACAATTTGTTTAGTACACATTTGTGGTGTTATGTTGATGCCTATGTCTACCTATAATATTTTATGCCAAACTTTGTCAATTCCCCGTCAATGCTTTTTTCACTTTTGTGTCTTGTCTCCATATTGTGCTGAGCTACCTTCTTGTTGTTTATACTAAGATATCTAGAATCTAATAGTTTAAACTCTTACTAAATACCATCAGAGTCTGCTGAGGACGCCAATTCTTCCCAAGAGAGTTCAATCCCGTCTCTTATTTGTCTTCATTATCTCCACTTACATTTGAAACTGTGAGTCCGACAGAGATTATAACAGATATATCGAAGCCTTATACAAGTTATTTTTCTGTCTATCTGTAGTTATCTTATATTGGCTATCTTATAGTTTGATATATATAGGTTACATATTATCTTATTATACGGTAATGTATATTATTAATCATTCATATTGATAGCAATATATTTATGACAAATTTCATCACAATCCTGACATTTTACCCGATGTGTCACATGTAATAACACTAAATAATAATACCCTCCCCCCTCAATAGGGACCAATAAAACACATCTATGGACGACACATAATTCACTCTTATGTTTACAAATGCCACTCTGTCGTCGAGGGACAACTAAACAAAAGTCAATGAACGTGACAGCAATGTATATGTACATAAATTTACATTAACAGATACTTATGTACAAAAAGGTATTTATTTTTATGGGTTTCACCTACAAATCATTAAATGTAAATATAAATTATAATTCACGAAAGCTAAAATGTTGAAGGATGCACCGAAACGCATATTACATAGTTGGATGAAATATTTGGTGTAAGGGAAAGGTTGCGTGCTACTTATATCTTACCGGTTTTCTTAGTGGCGATGCTTGGCCTATGAGAGACCGGGGATGGGATTACGGAAGGAGTCTGTCGTTTGGATGCTTCAAAAGGGGTTGTATGGGAGTTGGGACAATTTGGATGGGTCCTATGGAAGCCTGGGATTGGGGGGCGGGATATATAGAAGCGGGTGTTATTTGGAAGAAGGGCGAGGGGTATCAGGAGCCTGGGTGAGGGTCATTTGAAGGCAGGATTTGGACCTCTGGAGCCGAAGGGCGAGCATGTGCTTTGACTTTTGGAATGGTGTTATAATATTAGCGTGCCACAAACGGTTGACGAAGCCATAGTTATTTCCAATCAATGGATGGTGGGCTGATCGTAATATAACCCATTGAATTAGAGGTATAGCCTGCACACTCATGGTGGAGACAGTTGCCTAGCAACAGGACCTTGCAATGACAACTTTAAATGCTGCACAGGCAGATTAATTTAATGTCATTTAGGTATTGGGCTTGTGTTTTCCTTCTCTTGTGATGCCATTATTAACATTATTATTAATTACGACTTTAACTGATATGTTAATGTGAATGACTGTTTTAGACTCATTGAGTCAATAGGTGTTCTGTCGTGATTGGCTGCTTTAGCAACGTCAGTAACTACTAGGTCAACGTAACTGCTTGAATGATATCATTAGAGTTAATGTGATTGTTCCTATTATATGTGCCCGACGTAGTTGTTTTTATTACGTCACAGTGATTATTACTCCATCTGCCAACTTAGGCGCCAAGATCCGCGCCTGCGCAGGGGAGAAGGCATACAGCATTACCGTTTGTCCGTCCTCAACTCATAAATAGCATCTTTACAGACACCATTAATAAAATAAATTAACAATTGGAAATAATATAGTTGTTGAAAAGGAAAATTGTTGATATTTTCATATAGAGTAAAATTTATAATATATATATAATTGGCCCAAAATTGGCTCAAAATATTATTCATCCTCAGCTATTAAATACTCACTGAACGATTTATTGTATAATTTGATGCTATTTTTAATTATTTTACCTCCTTTACATAATTAAATTATTATTGAATTATAAATATGAAATGTAACAAAGTCCATCTTCGAAAAGAATCTGAGTTTGGTCTAGTACCACTGATAGAGGTTCTGAGGTCTGGAACCATTGATTAAGGTTCTGAGGACTAGAACTGCCAATAGATGATTTGAGTACTACAACCCCCGGCGAAAGAGGATCCGAGGACTAGAACCACCGGTAGAGGATCCGAGGACTAGAACCGCTGGTAGTGGATCCAAGGACTAGAACCGACAGTAGAGTATCCGAGGACTAGAACCGCCGGTAGTGGATCCGAGGACTAGAACCGCCGGTAGAGGATCAGAGGACTAGAACCGCCGGTAGAGGATCCAAGGACTAGAACCGCCGGTAGAGGATCAGAGGACTAGAACCGCCGGTAGAGGATCAGAGAACTAGAACCGCCGGTAGAGGATCCGTGGACTAGAACCACCAGTAGAGGATCTGAAGACTAGAACCGCTGGTAGAGGATTCAAGGACTAGAACCGCCGGTAGAGGATCCGAGGACTAGAACCGCCGGTAGAGGACTAGAACCGCTGGTAGAGGATCCGAGGACTAGAACCGCCGGTAGAGGATCAGAGGATTAGAACCGCCAGTAGAGGATCCAAGGACTAGAACCACCAGTAGAGGATCTGAAGACTAGAACCACGGAGGAGGATCTGAGGCTTAGAACCACCGGCACTCAAATCATTATGGATTAAGTAAGCTGCTTTATGATACACCAAAAAAATATGTATATATAAATTTACACAATACATTCACGAAATCTCTATTTAAAAATTGAAACACAAATCTGAGTGAAGCGTTGGCAACGTGAGGCAGACGGCAGCGACCAGTGGCGCTAAAGCAGGGTGTTCTTTGAGTTCTCAAAGTGATTTTAGTATTCCAAAGTGTGTTGATGTGGTTTAGTGAGGAAGGGGGTAGGGGGACGCAGAAAGGAATTTGAATCTATTGGTCAACACTCTGATATCTATATTTCCATAACCTTGCTCACAACTTGTGGTGTTCATTTGAGTTGCTGCATTGTGATTTTGTTGTCTGGCAGTGCAAAGTGTCAAGCTTTATGGCCTGGCAGCGTTGAATGTCTGGCTTTATGGCCTGGCAGCGTTGAGTGTCTGGCTTTATGGCCTGGCTGCGTTGAATGTCTGGCTTTATGGCCTGGCTGCGTTGAGTGTCTGGCTTTATGGCCTGGCAGCGTTGAGTGTCTGGCTTTATCGCCTGGCAGCGTTGAGTGTCTGGCTTTATCGCCTGGCAGCGTTGAGTGTCTGGCTTTATCGCCTGGCAGCGTTGAGTGTCTGGCTTTATGGCCTGGCAGCGTTGAGTGTCTGGCTTTATCGCCTGGCTGCGTTGAGTGTCTGGCTTTATCGCCTGGCAGCGTTGAGTGTCTGGCTTTATGGCCTGGCAGCGTTGAGTGTCTGGCTTTATCGCCTGGCAGCGTTGAGTGTCTGGCTTTATCGCCTGGCAGCGCTGAGTGTCAAGCTTCACTACCTGGCTGTGCTGAGTGTCAAGCTTCACTACCTGGCTGTGCTGAGTGTCAAGCTTCACCACCTGGCTGTGCTGAGTGTCAAGCTTCACTACCTGGCTGTGCTGAGTGTCAAGCTTCACCACCTGGCTGTGCTGAGTGTCAAGCTTCACTACCTGGCTGTGCTGAGTGTCAAGCTTCACTACCTGGCTGTGCTGAGTGTCAAGCTTCACTACCTGGCTGTGCTGAGTGTCAAGCTTCACCACCTGGCTGTGCTGAGTATCAAGCTTCACTACCTGGCTGTGCTGAGTGTCAAGCTTCACTACCTGGCTGTGCTGAGTGTCAAGCTTCACTACCTGGCTGTGCTGAGTGTCAAGCTTCACCACCTGGCAGTATTGTGAGTAACCGCCCCACTCAGCTCCAGCTGCTCCAGTGGTCGCGGCTGCCTCCTCCGCCCACCACAAACCAACTACGGGTATTGCATAAAAATTCACACTATGTTATCTTTACACATCGATAGTTAATTTAGCTCATTTATGTTATTTTTGTAATCCTTCTCACGCGTTGTCCCAGACATGGATATAACCTATATACCTATGGCAGTGCCAATCAGCTGTCTCCAATATCAACAATGTAAAAACCAATTAACAAGCGACGAAGTCAAGGCTAAACATGGATATGGTGGGAGAGCTTTAGTACAGTACACCCACACACACACATCCAGTGTACACCCACGACAGGTGCGGCACACCCACACACACACTCACACATCCAGTGTACACCCACGACAGGTGCGGCACACCCACACACACACTCACACATCCAGTGTACACCCACGACAGGTGCTGTACACCCACACACATCCAGTATACACCCACAGGTGCGGTACATCCACACACACACACTCACACATCCAGTGTTCACCCACGACACAGGGTCATCCTCCTAGTTATCGCGCGGACCAGTAATTCTGTGAAGTATCTAATCCATAATATATAATAACAATCTAGGGTTTCAAGAGAGGTAATGAGGCTTTTTTGGCATCAAATATTCCACAAGATAGATGTAAGAGATGTCTGGTAGGGGAATAGGAGGAAGGTGTTTGAATAAGGCAAGTTGTGAAGCCTCTGTTTTATCAAGATAAAACAGAGGCTGGGAGCAACAAGATTAAAAGTGAGGAACAAGGCAAGGCCCGGAGAGATCGTGGTTCAAATTCCGAGTCAAACTTCCCACCAGAGCGCCTCGTGATATCATTTAAAAAACTGTGGGTTGTTGATTTTGGCTGCATTCATCGTTCGTAAATATTTGAGACAAAAAATAAGTGGTTTGATAAAAGACTGACAGTACGAATGTAAGACTTGAGACGCACTCCCTCGATGTAACACAGGAGAGTTAATCTTGCTTGGGAAAGAGATTCACTTCAACCGTACCCAATACAACCAGAACAGAAAAGTGATTGTGGATGAAAGCTTGCCCCTATGTTGAGGTAAGTTACCCACCCGAGGGATACATGTCCCCGCGAGAAACTAGGACAGGCGCCCACCATTACTGGCTCACGAACAAACACAAGCACACTCCGCCAAAACAAAAGAAAAAATTAAATTGAGTGTCGTGAGATGCTTTCTTCTGATTTGTCAACATTATTACATTTAGGCTCAACATGTATTTTACGAATTATATTATACCAAGGCATCCGATGTTCCATACTGGACAACAGTCATAACGTTACCCCGGCAGCAACACTGAGCTCTGCCACGGGTCCATAAGGCTTATTCCTACGCACTAAACTGTTGGAAACAAAGACTTTACAGCACTTACCGTTCAGAGCTCAGTGTCTTCCCACCGTTGCTACAGTATCTATTGAGAGCATCAAAATTCTAGAGAATAGACAATCACAAAAGTCAATAAGAGACAAACACATCAAGGTCCACACACAGCACAAACAGCCAGAAGTGTTCCACCCACGGGATAAAACAACACACAGGATATTGCTAACAACATTGGTAAGGTCATCAAATACACAAGCCCCAGAGACTGGCGGGTAACCCGTGCTCTCCACCTCCCTGGCAGGCCACAACCATCACTCATTTCCCCTCACCATAACATTCAATGTCTTAAACTTGGTTTAGTCGAAGGTTGCAGGATGCGGCACTGCAGGTTCGAGCAGTCTAGCTCTGACTGACATTGCTACCTACATAAACAGTAACGTAGTCCCTGAATGCACACTATCTAGCAACTTTCGGGCGTCGACTGGTTGCCTGAAGTACGAAAGCACGGGCACGCGCGCTGTGGACTTACGAACTCGCGGACTTAAGGAAATCGTTGGAAAGACTCGTTCAAGACCCAACAATAATAAATTAGATAAACAATACTCTGTATTACATTATTTAATACAGCCTTTATAACAGAGGCTTCTCCCTCATCTATTTCAACTCTAAAGCTCATAGCCTAGTCTTGTAAATAACACTACAGGGGTTCACAGTATCGTTCTACAGCTCCTCTGTTCACACCACAGCCCTGGAAACTTCTGCAACATCAACAATACTTTTTAAGCAATTATTTGGCATTACTGGTGGATGATTTGGGAGAATAACTGTAAACCGGCATCCCAAGGATAAGCTTGGATGTTTGCGTTCAAGAAATACGTAAGTGTTTTCGTTTTATAAACATTAAGGATTTGGGACAGCTTTCCCTACAACTCTGACTAATTCACTGTTTATAATGAAAACAATAACAACATTAAAACCCAGAATCCACCAGTAAGGCGACTTAAGAGCGTCTCAGCGAGGCTGCTGTCGTTCACATGTACAAAACATTATAGCAAGCATCCTGACCGAGGCTCGACAGTCCAGGTGAGGAGAGGCATCTTGAAGTGCGCATTTCCTAGGTAAAATTCCTTTCTTCAGGGAGGCATGACATGAGTAAGTGTTTATACTCAACTTAGATGGCAAAAATAAACGTACTTATTGTGAGTGAATGAGGAGAGCTTATCTACATGCGTTTCGTAATTGTTTCGAGATAGTTTAAGGCAGATTATCCCAAGATCTAAGTCTAATTTGAGCCGATGATGTTAGTGACTAGGGTTAGCGGTGGATGTCTTCTCCAGAGGACGAGCACCTTCGTCGTTAACGACTTTTCTTCCTCTGTAGTTGGAGTGTAGTCTTGTGTGTGAGTTCCTGTCCTCCCTTAAGTAGACTTAACAATATAGCAGGGACTGCACAGGACACCAGCCTTCATTTTGAGGCTGAATTATTTTCTGCTTTGGTTTGCGGTGTTCTTTGCGTGTGTGAACTTCGACTGCCATCCTTCTGCACTTCACAAGTCCCTGTGTATGCTGCAGATTTGAAGAGGATGCACGCCTTCACGATAATCTTGTGCGGCAGTATTCCCCTTCTTGTGAGAGCTCTTGATATTGCCGTCCTCCTCCTCCTTCAGGTTACATATCCCCGAAGATACCAGCGAAGGTCTTGCGCAGGTTCTTCATGGTGTCCTCGGTGTCATCTCCTCCTCCTCCGACTGTGCTGTCGTTGGAGGCGGTGGTGGTGACTGAGGTCTGGCGGCCGAAGAGTGGTGCCTTCTGCGCCGCCGACTGCTGCGACGACTGGCTGCTCTCGTCAGGTTGTCGTCGGGTTCCACTGGCGCTGCTGAACCCGCTGATGCTGCTAGACTGAGACGCTGTGGGAGACGAAGCAAATGTTTACATACAGACATGTTGCTTTTTGGCGGAATTTTAGTCGTGGAGGGCAATTTTATGGACAGGGATCGATATTTTGAGATTAAGTTGAGATTTTTGGTTGAAAGGGACTATAATGTTGAAGTCAGGAGCAACAATGTTGGAAGTAAAGGAAAGATAAATTTAAATTACATTTTACGATTATGTAGCGAAAATATGAAAATAATGGTGAATACAATTAGGTAAGCGCACAGGATGCCAAACACTGTCGGTAGTTTTACAGCATCCAATGCCAAAGAGTACTGGGAAGACGGGACACCACTAGCGTAGCTGCTATCCTGTAACTACACTTAGGTAATTACACCCACACAGACAAATGGAAATTCACATTCAAAATCCACCCCCATGTAGTACTGCACAAAATACCCTAGCATGGCACTAGGTAGGTTACATTTAACAGTAAACAAATACAGCTTTCACTAGCTGGAGTTAGTATGGAGGTCCTCCCATGTGCTGTGTAAGCCTGTACAGGAAGGTGCAGGACCAGGTGTTGGCATCAGGGGACCTGAAGAGTATCAACAGGATTTGGGAGACCAAGAAATGTAAAGGACAGAGAACATGGATCTGAAAAAACAAATGGCAGTGGTCAGATCTGTAGAGCACAAGGCAAAGCACAGGGGATCTGATAGAGAAAGCACAAGGTTTCGAGAGACAAGGTACAGGGTTCTGGTAGACAAAGCATAGGGATCTGATAGAAAATAGATGGATTTGACAAAGTACAGGGATCTGATAGACAAAGTACAGGGATTTGATAGACAAAGTACAGGGATCTGATAGACAATAGATGGATCTGACAAAGCACAGGGATCTGATAGACAATAGATGGATCTGACAAAGCACAGGGATCTGATAGACAATAGATGGATCTGATAAAGCACAGAGAAAGTCAAAGTAAAGGGAGCTGAGAGACAATGTACAGGGAACTGGTAGACGGTGTACAGAGAATTGATAGACAATACAGGAATCTGATGGACAATACAGGGGGATCTGACAGACAGTGTACAAGGATCTGATAGACAAAGTAAAGGCAGTTGAAATCCAAAGGGAGAAACCAGGTGATAGATCAGACAGAAATATAAGATACAACCAAGGTTGTGGGGGCAGCCAGAGAGACTGAGGCTATAACCCAGGATATGGTGGGGGCAGGTAGAGACCGTGGCTAGAACCCAGATTGTGGCTCCTACCCTGGGAGTCCCGTCGCTGCTGGCTAGGTGACCCGCCAGGGAGAGGCGTCTCGCTCATGCCCAGCCGGGAGGAAGTTTCCTCGGTCGGAGAGCCGCCACGGGACGACAAGGCAGTGGAGGTTCCGGTCAGCGACTGCCTCGACAAACCCCGCGTCAGCTCCAACGGCCGCGTCACGCCCTGTCGAGGAAGAGTAAGAATCAATGCGTGACTGTTGCCAACGCCTCACGCGACAGTCCTATAGTGCTCTTGTATCTGTGATGACGTTTCTCAACGCTCTGTCACATCGCGGTTATTCGTGTTACTCGCCGATAGTTTAAGCTACATCGCTGTTACTTTGAGTTACTTGCTATCATTTTGTATTTAATGACTCTTGCTAACTTTCCAACTGACTGCATGTTGTTTTACATTCAGCTAATCGGATCAAAAGTTCCAAGTGGCACGGACTAAACCTGTGAGTGCACTGGGCTGAGTGAGCCCGTAGAAGACTTTAAGTGATAGCAATTTAGAATTATATGTATACACAATTTCAGCCTACTTGACGCTACTTGCAAATAGTTTATGCTATTTATACTTTAATTTAAAATAACATGTGGGCTTTTGGGGAAGCTTTAACAAGATCACACATTTATGAAATTACGTTTAAACAGCACTATATTTACGAGGAATAAAGACACCAATATTGCCTGATATAAAAAGATTGATTGATGAAGCCACCCCAAGAGGTGTCATGGCAATGAGTAGCCCATAAATTGTAGATTTTTTCGGAGTGAATGTGATCTTCGGTCGTGAAAGGATATACTGAGTGCTGAGCTCGCAGATATACACAATAAGCTTCCATTATCCATACAAGGAGAGGTATACTCCACTCGGTATATACACATTGAGGACTGGACTGCGGAAGAGACGGTTAAGATGCATATTATTACTGTACGTTGTTCAAATATTCCCATTAATGGAGTCAGGAAGCCTGTTTGGCTTATTCAGGTCTCTCCTAGGTTGCCCTAGATGCGCTTGACCTTTCCTTCGATGTAACCCGCAATAGACTTGTTGAAAATACTACGATACTGGCGTTGCTGTTAGCTCGGCTCAGAAATCAAAGTACTATATCCGCTTACCATTTAGAATTTGATCAACTGTTGCATTCTGGAGCAAACATAATAATAATGATAATAATAATAATGTTGATGATTATGATAGTGATGATAATGACGATAAATAAATAAATAAATAAATAAATAAATAAACGATGACCGTTAAAATAATAAAATAGTTACGGCTCGACGTCTAATTACAAAAAACGTAAAGCATGTTGTAAAGGGTAACTATATTAGAACTCACAGCAACAGCCCAAATTTAACAATACAAAATTGTATTATCTCAAAACTGCCGGCACCGTGTCTGTACAGTGTTGAGTAGCTGGTGATGTATCAACTTCAAAGATAATTCAAAGCAGTTCATAGAATGTGAATATTACAGTTGTGAGATTTCAGAAGCATGAAGCGGAAATTACCTAAATGTTCAGATAATACAATAGGGCACTAAATATGGCCCCTAAGTGTCTCATTATGAACTGCAATATCTTTGAAGCTGTATTTCGATCGAGTCTTCAGCTATCGGGAAAAATGCGTCCTAGAACAGGCTACGCTTGCAAGTGGAGCGAGTCTGGCCACATCATGGGTTGAGGCGTGATTTGAGGGCAGGACTGGGAGAGCAGTTTATGGATAGGATAACTCAGGATTGTTGGGATGCAGTTCCTGTTAAGTATGAAACAGTTTCTGGAAACAAATTATACAAAAGTGTATGTAGATAAAGTTTCTGGAAAGGATAACGCAAGATTATATAGGTTTTAGAAAATATAACATAACCTTGATGTAGCTTCTAGATTGGATATACGACAGGATAATAGATAGTTTCAAGATTAAATACATCATGGTTATATGCACACAGAGATGACCCTGTTTCTCATTGTATATACACTGGGAATTTACTTTTCTCCTAGACTATATTACGGACTAAAGTTCACTTGCTGGTTGGTCAGAGAGGTATTGTGGTGGCTGCCCAAGTGTTATTAGCCCGTATCAGTGGCTTTGCATGAATGTAAAAATACCAATCTTAAGTAATCTCGACAACCCATTGTACCTTCTTGCTAATAAAAATTATTAATATTATTATTAGTATTATTATTATTCCTCTCCAGAGATTGAAGGGTCTTAATCCCAACACTAAACCCAATGAAGGAAATTCCCACGGAATGTCAAAATTATATGGAAAACAAAATCGCCAAGACACTAACCCCTTGACCCCTTTAGTCTGGATTTGTGGAAGTATTAACTTATGTCTAGACGTGTATATTAACTCTTTTCAAAGATGGAAGACGAAATATAACTGTGTCGACCCCACGATAAGACTAGTCAGATTGCATGTACGAAAAGACCGCTGTCGACGTAAACAAACTAGGTTCGTTGGTTGCATTTGACATTAACATGAATAATGATTTACCACAAACACATTAACCTTTACAAATTTTAATTACTATTAAATTATGAAATATGTCATGTGAATCACAATAGTAATAATCTTTGATGAAATATGTTAAATTCATGTGAATTGTTAGCAATTGTCAGTCTCGTCAAATTTGTGTACTGACGTGTAGTATTACTCCTTACTCTTGTAATATCTTAAATCGTATAAATAACAATTAATAAAAGTAGATGGCCACTAACAGTAAATAACTGTGTATTTAAACAAGATAAATATATTCCAGTTAACCCCGTTGAAGGAGTAGGGAGTGAAAGACACTCGCTTGACCTCGCCCCACGGGACAATAACAATGTTTGCGTGGCGTGGCTCTTAAAGATAATCCGGACTAATATCTATAATAGACACCCCAGCCAGTGTTTACCGCCTCGGAACCCTTCTTACCAATTGCTTCACACCCAGATAATTCTACTGGAGTAGTAAGACATTTAAGGTTAGTGTAGATTCTATAAGCGCCTTATTAAAATCTATATTCGTCTTATTATTATGATAATTTTGTATCACTGAATTTTTGGAGTGATATTAGTGCCTTATTTTTTCGGCTTGGTGCCTTAATTTCATATTTAGGTCCTTATTTAAAAGTTTAGTTTGGTTCATTTAATTTGCTCTCCATACCCATCCCGTAGGCGGTGGTGGAAAAGGTTACAGAGGTAAATAATGGACTCTGGAACTGAGCCCCTAACAAGAATATATTATTTATACATTTCGCAGCTAGTAATTAAAGATCAACATTTCAATTTGCAGGAGATTTGTTGGTGGGCGACGGTCTGGTCAGCGAAGCCTCGTCGGAGTAGCCTCGTCATTGCTACCTTCCTACAGCTCAAAGTTAGTGAAACAATTTCCCAAACCGAGAAGTGTGACCCCCTCGCTTCTCAGTTTTTATATATTGTCTTCTCAGTTTTGCACTCCCTATGTCCATCCCGTGTGGGCAGTGGGAAAGGTTACAGAGGCACGTAATGGGCTCAGGAACTGAATGAACCTCGAGTTTTATTTAACGAAGCAAGATAAAGTCTTGATAGGCTAGTTGTTGCACAGTTGTTAGTGATCTGGGCAAGACACCATGATTATGGACTGAGAATTAAGGTGTGTGGAGGAAAGAAAAAGGTGGTTTGTTAATAATTATACAAACGATAACAGCCTAAGATCATTGTGTTCATTTTTCCATCGACAATCTAAAAGACAAAATTATTTTGTATCATTGTAATAATTATACTTCTTGAATTATCCCAAATCTGTTATCCTGCCGTTACGTCCCGATTCCTTCATGAATAATCTAGAATTTATTATCCAAGTAGGTAATCTATAATTAATTTCGAAGAAGTGCCACACCCCACCAGTGAACGCCTCAATGAGAAACTTACAGTGACATGATATCATCCAAAATGTTTTAAGAAATTTTCCAAACGTTTGTGAAACGTCAACATAGGGAAAGTTGAAGGGGAAAGCTCTACTGTACAAGGGTATGGTGGAGACACAAAGGGGTTCTATATGGAAGAATCCAGGTTCATGTTAGTGGGAGAGTGCGTGGAGGTAGGGGTAGGGAAAGTTTAAAAGGGAAGTTTTGTATCGTAAGGCTGCTGATAGAGGTTTCAAGAGCCCTATAAAACTCCGTATGGATCTTAAAGAGGATCGAATGGATTATATCCAAGCCTCAAACACTCAGAGAAGGATCTGAAGCCTGCTAAGGGGGGTGGGGGTTGTAGGGGGTCCCATAAGGGGATCACAGCTTTCTTAGAGGAGGTTATAGGGATGCTGAAGAGAGCTGTTGGAAAGTTGGCAAGGATGCTTAGAGGGGTCACAACAGTGCTAGGGCGGCCTCGGAGATGTGAAAAAAGTAAACAAAGCTATATGGCATTATAACTACTGGTAGAACATTAAGAGGTCTTAGATAGTCCACAGTGCTGCTGGGTAGTACACAAGAGTCATAGATGGAGCCATGGAGCTTCTAGGAGAGCGTCAAGTGACCTAGAGAGGTGGGTAATAAGAGTTTCTAAGAGGGCAGAGATCTTGTGATCTCTGAGGACTTAGGAGAGGACTTGAGGCTACTCATAAGAGCTGTAGAGCCGTGGGAGGGCCGTGGGAGAGTGCTGTGGGAGTGTACTCTAGCTAGAGCTGTGAGCCTGCCACTACTCTCACGAGTTAACTGCTACATTATGGTTACCTGGACCCCGCAGCTTTCCTGTGGCGATGGAGAGAAACATATATTTGAAGATTTTGATAAAAAAAGAAAAGGAAATGTTACAATTTTGTTTTATAAATTCTGTAATACAACGAATTAATCCTGAAAGGTATTACATGTTTGTATGAGAATATTCTCGTTACTAGTAAATAAAACTGAGTTGAAAGCACAGAAAGGGGGATTAATTCCGGTGATATTTACTTTGGGGATTATGTTATTAAGTGTATTATATTATTCTACGGTAAATATTAGAAAGGGACTAAATTTCAGATTTACTTACGAAAGATACCTTTCATTATTATGTTGCAACTTGCCACGTTTATGGCTGTAATTTAAATGGGGCAAGAAATTTGATTATAGAACATCTCTTCAAAATCTTATCTGGGCCTCAAGAAGAATAACTCTGATAAGAGATTCTGAGTGAAATATCCTGAGTATAATCTGTATACTCAATAATCTGATTATGGAGTATAATTATACTCTATAATCATCGAGTATAATCTGCACGAGAAAGATAATCAGAAAGAGTCCCACATAAAAGTATATAAAATTGCATTTCCCGTTAGCTTGTCAACTCTCCTAACACCGTAAGAAATGATCCCAGAGGCAAAGAGATCACAGGTCCCAAAGGTTACACAGGTCCCTGGTGACGCTGCCTGTCAGCGTCAACAAGACCGTAGCCAACATCAAGGAACATCAAGGCTTCATTATTCCCACCTCGCGAAACGTTCTTTGAAATATTCTAAAAAGCAGGATGTAAAGGTGGTTGACGTAGCCTTTTCTGGCTAGTAATTCTAGCCAGAACTACTTTAGTATAGTACCTTGACGGCCGTGATCTGAAGGGGGCTTAGGAGCGATGCTTGAAGGTGTGAAGACAGGGGTTCAGAGTCTTAGAGCAGGCCTGAGACAGGCAAGGAGGGGAGGTCACAGTCTAAAAGCGAGGTGAATTTTAATACGTGACTTCGTATCCTTGACATTGTGGCCAACTGACTGACCTCTGACCTTGCGATTCTGTCCGAGCCCTGTGGCTAAGATTAATTATGACCTTCCCTGACCTTGTGATCCCGATCGATCAGGCGGCTGATTGATCATGTGATCCTGATTGATCAGGTGGCCCCGACTGATGATGCGTCCCTGCCTGACCTAGTGACCTAGCATTCATACTTGCAAACAAAAGCAGCCAGAAACTAAAACTCACTCACCAGCGGGTGTTCTGAATGTGCCTATCGGTAAGCTTACAAGACATCAGCGGATGGTCAGGATACCAACTCCTGTTTAAACTTTATCTCTTAAGTGCGTCCTCATGTTCAAAGTTCTCGTGTTTGGCTTGCGATTAGGCTATTCTTCCTACTCTTTTTTTTTTTCCCCTGCTTGCGCGTTCTCTCTCTCTCTCTCTCTCTCTCTCTCTCTCTCTCTCTCTCTCTCTCTCTCTCTCTCTCTCTCTCTCTCTCTCTCTCTCTCTCTCTCTCTCTCTCTCTCTCTCTCTCTCTCTTTCTCTCATTTCACCTACCCTTCAGTTACACCCACCTACCCGTCAGCCACACCCACCTACCCGCCAGACACACCCACCTACCCGCCAGCCACACCCACCTACCCGCCAGCCACACCCACCTACCCGTCAGCCACACCCACCTACCCGTCAGCCACACCCACCTACCCGTCAGCCACACCCACCTACCCGTCAGCCACACCCACCTACCCGTCAGACACACCCACCTACCCGTCAGCCATACCCGCCAACCCGTCAGCCACATCCACCTACCCGTCAGCCACACCCACCTACCCGCCAGCCACACCCACCTACCCGTCAGCCACACCCACCTACCCGCCAGACACGCCCACCTATCCGCCAGACACACCCACCTACCCGTCAGCCACACCCACCTACCCGTCAGCCACACCCACCTACCCGTCAGCCACACCCACCTACCCGCCAGACACGCCCACCTATCCGCCAGACACACCCACCTACCCGTCAGCCACACCCACCTACCCGTCAGCCACACCCACCTACCCGCCAGACACGCCCACCTATCCGCCAGACACACCCACCTACCCGTCAGCCACACCCACCCGGCGTCTCACCTGCATCTTGATGGCTACGAGTTCGGCTATGTAGCGACGGTCGTCCTCCTGAGAGTCTCCCATGAGCGTCAAGGCAGAGTCGTTGACTTCGATGATGTGTTCGTTGCCGCCCTTGTCCACGATCGCCTCGATGGCGCAGATGTCCAAGCCCCCGAACAGCGACGACACCTGTGGACACGGAGGGACGGGTTAGTAGGGAGCTGAGGGGACAGGAAGGGTGAATATGGAGTCGAAAGTTAATGCCCTCGTGAACCCTTGATGATCTTTCGATGGCCCATCATCACCATACATGACTGTGACCCCTGCTTGACCTAATAACAATACAGCATTCAGAGACAATGACCCCCCGCCCTCAGGAAGAAGTACATGTTGATATGACCTCTGATGACCTGATGACTGCCCCAGATAACCTGGCATATGACCTACCTCATCAACCCAGGCCTTGTACCGCTCCGTCATAGCTGCCTGCTCCAGCATGGCCGACCCGGTGTTCGTCTTCCAGTTACCGGAGATGGACTTTCTCCTGCGGGCGAAACCTTGCATTAGGTGAGAGAGGGAGAGAGCACACAGAGTTGACAGTACCAACTTCAACTCCCCAAAGGAATTGAAGTTGGTACTGTCGTACAGTACTGTTGGTACTGTCGTACAGTACTGTTGGTACTGTCGTACAGTACTGTTGGTACTGTCGTTGGTACCAACCAAAGGAGTTGGTTGTACCTTGTGTACACCAACATATAATCAAGGAAGAGAGGGAGGAGAAGACACAGGAAGAAGATACTAATGAGGATAAAGATGAAGGTATAAGGAGGAACAAAGAAGGTCCGAGGACGAGCAAGAAGGGAGGAGGACGAGGAGGCCAGAGATGTGTGGTAAGGACTGTTGTCATCAGCGACGTCATCTTGGATGCTGGAGTGAACAGGTGTACAAGGGGTACGAAATCTCTAGCTAGCAATTACAAAGACTCATATTGATCAAATACATAATATTAAATTGAAACTGACGAGAGAATACATTTCGTACAGTAGGATAACACATTGAGTTGACCATGGTTGAAGTCGGCCCGAAACGTCCCTCCACTACCTTCATGTTCAGATATATGTGGCTTGGATGTCTATCCTTATACCCCTCTCACTATCTATCCCCCTCAAATTATTATCCACAAAAAACTCCTCAACTATCCACTCCAACTTACTGGAAGCACTTGTACATGGCGCCGATCTTCTGAATGTGAATATCGAACTTGGCGTCGATGTAGGGCTCAGTGGTGCAGTAGGTGTTGGCCACCGCCACCACGCTGGCCATGTCCTGGAAGTCGGCGTTGCTCTCCACCCGGATCTTGCCCAGGCCGCCGTGGGCGTGCCCGATCTTGAACACGCACGGGTACCGGGGCGCTGACATCTGGCGCAGGCGGAGAGGCAGGGAGGGAAGGAGGTGGTCAGAACACGTTGTTGTTATAGATTCAGCTACGCGGAACAAGTTCCCAAGTAGCACGGGCTATGGTGAGCCCGTAGTGGACTTACCTGGCACAGGAGCGGTGCTGTGGGGTGAGAACACTTTATAGCGACTCTTTATAGTCGATAATGACGCGGGTAGAGCCGTGGGAGTCTTGGCTACGTCAACACTTTTTGATGGAGTGTAGAGGGGTGGTGGGGGGGTGGAGGAGGAGGGAAGGGAAGGTTCGCTGAATGGTCGTGAGCAGTTGTATTGTTGAATGGTGATTGGATGATGTTGAAGGGGTGATTGGATAATTTTTTGAATGAAGATTGACGACGATGACTGGTTGTTAACGGTTTTGAATGGAAGATAACGATGATGAACGGCGAATGTTGGTAGAATGGGTAGAATCCCTAGGACTGGTAGATGAACGGCTGGGACTGGTAGATGAGCCCCTGTGACTGGTAGATGAACCCCTGGGACTGGTAGATGAACCCCTGGGACTGGTAAATGAACCCCTGGGACTGGTAGATGAATGAATGAAGAGAGATTGAAAAAGCTTAATTTACATACTCAACAAAGGCGAAGAGTTAATGTGGACATGTGTAAAGTACACAAATGAATGACTGGGCATAACAAGGAGGATAATAATAAGGTATAGAATATATCAACACAAAATAGAACACCAAACAATACAATTGATATAAATTACATAAGTTTATGATGACCAAACTACTCATCAGAAGATGGAGACACGTCCAAGTTTATGATGACCAAACTACTCATCAGAAGATGGAGACACGTCCAAGTTTATGATGACCAAACTACTCATCAGAAGATGGAGACACGTCCAAGTTTATGATGACCAAACTACTCATCAGAAGATGGAGACACGTCCAAGTTTATGATGACCAAACTACTCATCAGAAGATGGAGACACGTCCAAGTTTATGATGACCAAACTACACATCAGAAGATGGAGACACGTCCAAGTTTATGATGACCAAACTACTCATCAGAAGATGGAGACACGTCCAAGTTTATGATGACCAAACTACACATCAGAAGATGGAGACACGTCCAAGTTTATGATGACCAAACTACTCATCAGAAGATGGAGACACGTCCAAGTTTATGATGACCAAACTACTCATCAGAAGATGGAGACACGTCCAAGTTTATGTTGACCAAACTACTCATCAGAAGATGGAGACACGTCCAAGTTTATGATGACTAAACTACTCATCAGAAGATGGAGACACGTCCAAGTTTATGTTGACCAAACTACTCATCAGAAGATGGAGACACGTCCAAGTTTATGTTGACCAAACTACTCATCAGAAGATGGAGACACGTCCAAGTTTATGATGACCAAACCACTCATCAGAAGATGGAGACACGTCCAAGTTTATGTTGACCAAACTACTCATCAGAAGATGGAGACACGTCCAAGTTTATGATGACTAAACTACTCATCAGAAGATGGAGACACGTCCAAGTTTATGTTGACCAAACTACTCATCAGAAGATGGAGACACGTCCAAGTTTATGTTGACCAAACTACTCATCAGAAGATGGAGACACGTCCAAGTTTATGATGACCAAACTACTCATCAGAAGATGGAGACACGTCCAAGTTTATGATGACCAAACTACTCATCAGAAGATGGAGACACGTCCAAGTTTATGATGACCAAACTACACATCAGAAGATGGAGACACGTCCAAGTTTATGATGACTAAACTACTCATCAGAAGATGGAGACACGTCCAAGTTTATGATGACCAAACTACACATCAGAAGATGGAGACACGTCCAAGTTTATGATGACTAAACTACTCATCAGAAGATGGAGACACGTCCAAGTTTATGATGACTAAACTACTCATCAGAAGATGGAGACACGTCCAAGTTTATGATGACCAAACCACTCATCAGAAGATGGAGACACGTCCAAGTTTATGTTGACCAAACTACTCATCAGAAGATGGAGACACGTCCAAGTTTATGATGACTAAACTACACATCAGAAGATGGAGACACGTCCAAGTTTATGTTGACCAAACTACTTTTTTTTTTTTGTGATATATACAAGAGTTGTTACATTCTTGTACAGCCACTAGTACGCGTAGCGTTTCGGGCAAGTCCTTAATCCTACGGTCCCTGGAATACGATCCCCTGCCGCGAAGAATCGTTTTTTCATCCAAGTACACATTTTACTGTTGCGTTAAACAGAGGCTACAGTTAAGGAATTGCGCCCAGTAAATCCTCCCCGGCCAGGATACGAACCCATGACATAGCGCTCGCGGAACGCCAGGCGAGTGTCTTACCACTACACCACGGAGACTGCTAATCAGAAGATGGAGACACGTCCAAGTTTATGATGACTAAACTACTCATCAGAAGATGGAGACACGTCCAAGTTTATGATGACCAAACTACACATCAGAAGATGGAGACACGTCCAAGTTTATGATGACCAAACTACACATCAGAAGATGGAGACACGTCCAAGTTTATGATGACTAAACTACACATCAGAAGATGGAGACACGTCCAAGTTTATGATGACTAAACTACTCATCAGAAGATGGAGACACGTCCAAGTTTATGATGACCAAACTACACATCAGAAGATGGAGACACGTCCAAGTTTATGATGACTAAACTACTCATCAGAAGATGGAGACACGTCCAAGTTTATGATGACCAAACTACACATCAGAAGATGGAGACACGTCCAAGTTTATGATGACTAAACTACTCATCAGAAGATGGAGACACGTCCAAGTTTATGATGACTAAACTACTCATCAGAAGATGGAGACACGTCCAAGTTTATGATGACCAAACTACTCATCAGAAGATGGAGACACGTCCAAGTTTATGATGACTAAACTACACATCAGAAGATGGAGACACGTCCAAGTTTATGATGACCAAACTACACATCAGAAGATGGAGACACGTCCAAGTTTATGATGACTAAACTACACATCAGAAGATGGAGACACGTCCAAGTTTATGATGACCAAACTACACATCAGAAGATGGAGACACGTCCAAGTTTATGATGACCAAACTACTCATCAGAAGATGGAGACACGTCCAAGTTTATGATGACTAAACTACTCATCAGAAGATGGAGACACGTCCAAGTTTATGATGACCAAACTACTCATCAGAAGATGGAGACACGTCCAAGTTTATGATGACCAAACTACTCATCAGAAGATGGAGACACGTCCAAGTTTATGATGACCAAACTACTCATCAGAAGATGGAGACACGTCCAAGTTTATGTTGACCAAACTACTCATCAGAAGATGGAGACACGTCCAAGTTTATGATGACCAAACTACTCATCAGAAGATGGAGACACGTCCAAGTTTATGTTGACCAAACTACACATCAGAAGATGGAGACACGTCCAAGTTTATGATGACCAAACTACACATCAGAAGATGGAGACACGTCCAAGTTTATGATGACCAAACTACACATCAGAAGATGGAGACACGTCCAAGTTTATGATGACTAAACTACACATCAGAAGATGGAGACACGTCCAAGTTTATGATGACCAAACTACTCATCAGAAGATGGAGACACGTCCAAGTTTATGATGACTAAACTACTCATCAGAAGATGGAGACACGTCCAAGTTTATGATGACCAAACTACACATCAGAAGATGGAGACACGTCCAAGTTTATGATGACCAAACTACACATCAGAAGATGGAGACACGTCCAAGTTTATGATGACCAAACTACACATCAGAAGATGGAGACACGTCCAAGTTTATGATGACTAAACTACACATCAGAAGATGGAGACACGTCCAAGTTTATGATGACTAAACTACTCATCAGAAGATGGAGAAAAGTCCAAGTTTCTAGATAAGTATATATATCTACGACAACTAGGATCACTTCTGCCCTGGAGAAGGGTTGGTGATTTGTGGCACACAAAATAGATCATAATAGACGCGGGATTATTGATTGTTTCAAGCGTAGGTTAGACATGTATATGAATGAGTTTGGGTTGATGTAAATACAAGCTGCCACGTAGGGGACCAATAGGCCTTCTGCAGTTTCATAATTCATATGTAATACAGTAGAATGATATCAAACCGGCCCTAATGCCACTTCATCCGAGCTCCACCCTCCCCCCTCTCCCCACTTAATTCAAGGGACGGTTACCGGTGTATATCAGTATTTCCGGATGTTTCTGGCGCGCTCCGCCCAGCCGGTGGGTGCTGGAGCGGACCGGTTCCCGGCGGACCTTTCTGCATAGCTGACCTTCAATACTGGCAGCTGAGCGTCGGCTGGAGTGGTGTTGGGTGTGGTTAGGTTGGGTAGTGTGGGGCTCTGGTCCCCCCCTGGTCACTCACCATGGGTATTGTGGGGCTCTGGTACCCCCCCGGGTCACTCACCATGGGTATTGTGGGGCTCTGGTCCCCCCTGGTCACTCACCATGGGTAGTGTGTGGCTCTGGTATCCCCCTGGTCACTCACCATGGGTAGTGTGTGGCTCTGGTATCCCCCCCTGGTCACTCACCATGGGTAGTGTGGGGCTCTGGTCCCCCCTGGTCACTCACCATGGGTAGTGTGGGGCTCTGGTCCCCCCCTGGTCACTCACCATGGGTATTGTGGGGCTCTGGTAACCCCCTGGTCACTCACCATGGGTATTGTGGGGCTCTGGTACCCCCCCCGGGTCACTCACCATGGGTATTGTGGGGCTCTGGTCCCCCCCTGGTCACTCACCATGGGTAGTGTGGGGCTCTGGTAACCCCCTGGTCACTCACCATGGGTATTGTGGGGCTCTGGTCCCCCCTGGTCACTCACCATGGGTAGTGTGTGGCTCTGGTATCCCCCTGGTCACTCACCATGAGTAGTGTGGGGCTCTAGTACCTCCCTGGTCACTCACCATGAGTAGTGTGGGGCTCTAGTACCCCCTGG